CTCCGGGAGATCGTTTACGTATATCAGAAACAGGATAGAACCGAGCAGAGAGCCCTGTGGGACTCCACTGGTGACTTCACGCCATTCTGAGGTCTCACCCCTCACTGTAACTCTTTGCTTCCAATTGCTTAGGTATTCCTTTATCGACTGGAGCACTTTACCAGTTACTCCTGCCTGTCTCTGCAGCTTATGTATCAGCCTCTTATGGGGGACTGTATCAAAGGCTTTCCGACAGTCCAAAAAAATGCAGTCCAACCAGCCTTCTCTTTCTTGCTTAATCTTTGTCACCTGATCGTAGGTATTATTAAGCCAGTAAGGCAAGATTTACCCTCCCTGAACTCATGTTTGCGATTTGTCACGAAGTCCCTTCTCTCCAGGTGTGTTACTAGATTTTTTCTCACGATCTTCTCCATCACTTTGTGTGTGTGTGTGTGTGTGTGACACGAACTAATGACTTCTTCTTGGAGTGTGTTGAAGGGTTTCTGGCCCACTGTGAGACTTACCTTATCTCCGTGTGATTATAGCGTAGGCGGCAGACGGTGACCCATCGGAAATACACAACTCCTTCCGACTGTCAACTATGCAAGCCGGGAACATCATCATATGTGTTTAGATACCACAGCCCACCCCTTCATAAACACATCCTGAGAGAGAGAAAGACGAGGGTGACTGCAGCAGATGCCTCCTCCTACAGCCCTCTTATCTCTCTTTCTCCTCGAACACCACTTGACCCACACCTTACAACAACAACAACATATTACCAGCTCTCCTACCCCTTATCTTCTCTCTTGTGTGTGTGTGGGGAGGGGGGCACCCCTCGGGGGGGGAGGTGGCACCCCTCGCTCAACATAGTCATCTTCCCTACTTACTATTATTTAACTATATATCTACATATCCCACTGATGCTGCTGCTTAACTCTACGATACCAACATATACATACCTGCTCCTGCTTCACACCTGTTCCTATACTCACTTCTCCTTCTACTACCCCCCCCCCCCCCCCCCCCCGAGACACACAACGTCCCGGGAGACACACAACGTCCCGGGAGACACCGAACTCTATGCTCAAAAGACACACACTTTAATTTTAAACACACCTGCTGTTGCTGCTGCTGATGCTAGACACCTGTTCTTATACCTACTCCTTTTACCGTTACACACTTATACCCCCCAGCGACACATAACGTCCCGGGAGACGTGGAACGTCCTGCCCCCGCGCACCCTCGGAACCTCATACACCCATTGAGACGTGACTTCCGTGATTATCTGTGACAGGTACATCCAATCGCACAACTGTCACAGGTGTTGCGGATGGTCTACGTCCCAGTTTACGCTACTATTGTCAAGGTCTTGAAACTTTGTGCATTATTATTTTGTAAATTGCAAAATTGTTCATCAGTGATGGGTTACACGAAATTCTAAATAACCTAGCTATATATTAATGAAATTTTTATCGGAAAACACATTTTAATGTGAACAATTCCATTGAATAAATGTTCTTAAAGGGGTCTTAGCGAACCATTTAAGACACAGGAGTAAATTAAAAAATAGACACAATAACTACAACTAAAAAAGCGAGTCAGATCTACGTCAGTTCTTGACATATCTCAAAAGAAAACATTTTACATTTACAGAAAGCGGAGCGTAAACAACATGTCTTCGCTTCTTCACGTAGTAGGAAGAAGCATGTCAGCAGCGAGGGTGTGGCGTCAGGTGTGCCCCATCTTGCAGTGCCTCAGTCAACAACGGGCCACACCTCATCTCAGTCCATTTTCCTCAGCTATGGCAGTGCAGTGCTCCCACCGCCCGCCCAAATTGTAAGAAAATATTCTTTATTGTCCCACCAATACTAATAGTATTAAGCGGAGAAACGTCTTACATAAGCCTATAAAATTAAAGTCTTTTAAATGTAAAACAACTTTTCCCATCCCCCCTTTGTCCCCCTCCTCCCCCCTACCTTTCACCTCTTCCCATTGTCTCATTAGATATATTATTAGGAAGGACTGAAACAACTATATGGGTCTTTTATCCCCACTTCATCCTCCTCCTTTTCTCATACCACTTTAGTGCCTTCATCCTCCCCTCTCCCACCCCACTTTGGTGCCTTCATCCTCCCCTCTCCCACCCCACTTTGGTGCCTTCATCCTCCCCTCTCCCACCCCACTTTGGTGCCTTCATCCTCCCCTCTCCCACCCCACTTTGGTGCCTTCATCCTCCCCTCTCCCACCCCACTTTGGTGCCTTCATCCTCCCCTCTCCCACCCCACTTTGGTGCCTTCATCCTCCCCTCTCCCACCCCACTTTGGTGCCTTCATCCTCCCCTCTCCCACCCCACTTTGGTGCCTTCATCCTCCCCTCTCCCACCCCACTTTGGTGCCTTCATCCTCCCCCTCCCCCTCCCCCTCACAACTTTGGTGCCCTAATCCTCCCCCTTCCCCACACCACTTTGGTCCCCCCTCTTTGTCGGCACCAGCCCACCAGCAGCCAGTAAAGCGCTCCGGTAAGCCCTCCCATTATCACCAGCCCGCCCCTCCCTGGTAAACCCCGCCCATCTACCCCGGCCAGCCCCACCCTGGTAAACCCCGCCCACCTACACCGGCCCGCCCCTCCCTGGTAAACCCAACCCATCTTCACGGGCTCGCCCCTCCCTGGTAAACCCCGCCCATCTACACCGGCCCGCCCCTCCCTTGTAAACCCCGCCCATCTACACCGGCCCGCCCCTCCCTGGTAAACCCCGCCCATCAACACCAGCCCGCCCCTCCCTGGTAAACCTCGCCCATCTTCACCGGCCCGCCCCTCCCTGGTAAACCCCGCCCATCTACACCGGCCCGCCCCTCCCTGGTAAACCCTGCTCATCTACACCGGCCCGTCCCTCCCTGGTAAACCCCGCCCATCTACACCAGCCCGTCACTCCCTGGTAAACCCCGCCCATCTACACCGGCCCGCCCCTCCCTGGAAAACCCCGCCCATCTACACCGGCACGCCCCTCCCTAGTAAACCCCGCCCATCTACACCGGCCCGCGCCTCCCTGGTAAACCCCGCCCATCTACACCGGCCCGTCCCTCCCTGGTAAACCCCGCCCATCTACACCAGCCCGCCCCTTCCTGGTAAACCCCACCCATCTTCACCGGCCCGCCCCTCCCTGGTAAACCCCGCCCATCTACACCGGCCCGCCCCTCCCTGGTAAACCCCGCCCATCTACACCAGCCCGCCCCTTCCTGGTAAACCCCGCCCATCTTCACCGGCCAGCCCCTCCCTAGTAAACCCCGCCCATCTAATCCGGCCCGCCCCTCCCTGGTAAACCCCGCTCATCTACACCGGCCCGTCGCTCCCTGGTAAACCCCGCCTAACTACACTGGCCCGTCCCTCCCTGGTAAACCCCGCCCATCTACACCGGCCCGCCCCTCCCTGGTAAACCCCCCCATCTACACCGGCCCTCCCCTCCCTAGTAAACCCCGCCCATCTAAACCGGCCCGCCCCTCTCTGGTAAACCCCGCCCATCTACACCGGCCAGCCCCTCCCTGGTAAACCCCGCCCATCTACACCGGCCAGCCCCTCCCTGGTAAACCCCGCCCATCTACACCGGCCTGCCCCTCCCTGGTAAACCCTGCCCATCCAACCCGTTCTCGCAAATTTAATAAGTCAATATTGACTTATTAACTACGTGCATAGGTGATATACTAAACATAATAGATACCCTTAAAAAGATTCATAGAAAACACCGACCTTACCTAACCTTGTTAGTATCTTAAGATAAGCATCTTATTGCTTCGTAATTACAATTATTACTTAACCTATGCCTATTATAGGTTAGGTAATAATTGTAATTACGAAGCAATAAGATGCTTATCTTAACATACTAAGTAGGTTAGGTAAGGTCGGTGTTTTCTATGAATCTTTTTAAGGGTATCTATTATGTTAAGTATGTCATTTATGCACATATTTAATAAGTCAATATTGACTTATTAAATTTGCGAGAACGGGTTGGCCCATCTACACCGGCCCGCCCCTCCCTGGTAAACCCCGCCCATCTTCACCGGCCCGCCCCTCCCTGGTAAACCCCGCCCATCTACACCGGCCCGCCACTCCCTGGTAAACCCCACTCATCTACACCGGCCCGTCCCTCCCTGGTAAACCCCGCCCATCTACACCGGCCCACCCCTCCCTAGTAAACCCTGCCCATCTACACCGGCCCGCCCCTCCTTGGTAAACCCCGCCATCTACACCGGCCCGCCCCTCCCTGGTAAACCCCGCCCATCTACACCGGCCCGCCCCTCCCTGGTAAACCCCGCCCATCTACACCGGCCCGCCCCTCCCTGGTAAACCCCGCCCATCTACACCAGCCCGCCCCTCCCTGGTAAACCCCGCCCATCTACACAAGCCTGCCCCTCCCTAGTAAACCCTGCCCATCTACACCGGCCAGCCCCTCCCTGGTAAACCCCGCCCATCTACACCGGCCCGCGCCTCCCTAGTAAACCCTGCCCATCTACACCGGCCCGCCCCTCCTTGGTAAACCCCCGCCCATCGACACCGGCCCGCCCCTCCCTGGTAAACCCTGCTTATCTACACCGGCCCGCCCCTCCCTGGTAAACCCTGCCCATCTACACCGGCCCGCCCCTCCCTGGTAAACCCCGCCCATCTACACCTGCCCGCCCTCCCTGGTAAACCCCGCGCATCCACACCAGCCCGCCCCTCCCTGGTAAACCCCGCCCATCTACACCAGCCCGCCCCTCCCTGGTAAACCCCGCCCATCTACACCAGCCCACCCCTCCCTGGTAAACCCCGCCCATCTACACCAGCCCGCCCCTCCCTGGTAAACCCCGCCCATCTACACCGGCCCGCCCCTCCCTGGTAAACCCCGCCCATCTTCACCGGCCCGTCCCTCCCTGGTAAACCCCGCCCATCTACACCGGCCAGCCCCTCCCTGGTAAACCCCGCCCATCTACACCGGCCCGCCCCTCCCTAGTAAACCCCGCCCATCTACACCAGCCCGCCCATCTACACCGGCCCGCCCCTCTACACCGGCCCGCCCCTCCCTGGTAAACCCCGCCCATCTACACCGGCCTGCCCCTCCCTGGTAAACCCTGCCCATCTACATCGGCCCGCCCCTCCCTGGTAAACCCCGCCCATCTACACCGGCCCGTCCCTCCCTGGCAAACCCCGCCCATCTACACCGGCCCGTCACTCCCTGGTAAACCCCGCCTATCTACACCGGCCCGCCCCTCCCTGGTAAACCCCGCCCATCTACACCGGCACGCCCCTCCCTAGTAAACCCCGCCCATCTACACCGTCCCACGCCTCCCTGGTAAACCCCGCCCATCTACACCGGCCCGCCCCTCCCTGGTAAACCCCGCCCATCTACACCGGCACGCCCCTCCCTGGTAAACCCCGCCCATCTACACCGGCCCGCCCCTCCTTGGTAAACCCCGCCCTTCTCCACCTGCCCGCCCCTTCCTGGTAAACCCCGCCCATCTACACCGCCCGCCCCTCCCTGGTAAACCCTGCCCATCTACACCGGCCCGCCCCTCCTTGGTAAACCCCGCCCATCTACACCGGCCCGCCCCTTCCTGGTAAACCCCGCCCATCTACACCTCCCGCCCATCCCTGGTAAACCCTGCCCATCTACACCGGCCCGCCCCTCCCTGGTAAACCCCGCCCATCTACACCGGCCCGCCCTCCCTGGTAAACCCCGCCCATCTACACCAGCCCGCCCCTCCCTGGTAAACCCCGCCCAACTACACCAGCCCGCCCCTCCCTGGTAAACCCCGCCCATCTACACCAGCCCACCCCTCCCTGGTAAACCCAGCCCATCTACACCAGCCCGCACCTCCCTGGTAAACCCCGCCCATCTACACCGGCCCGCCCCTCCTGGTAAACCCCGCCCATCTTCACCGGCCCGTCCCTCCCTGGTAAACCCCGCCCATCTACACCGGCCAGCCCGTCCCTGGTAAACGGCGCCCATCTACACCGGCCCGTCACTCCCTGGTAAACCCCGCCCATCTACACCGGCCCGCCCCTCCCTGGTAAACCCCGCCCCTCTACACCGGCACGCCCCTCCCTAGTAAACCCCGCCCATCTACATCGGCCCGCGCCTCCCTGGTAAACCCCGCCCATCTACACCTGCCCGCCCCTCCCTGGTAAACCCCGCCCATCTTCACCGGCCCGCCCCTCCCTGGTAAACCCCGCCCATCTACACCGGCCTGCCCCTCCCTGGTAAACCCCGCCCATCTACACCGGCCCGCCCTCCCTGGTAAACCCCGCTCATCTACCCCGGCCCGTCCCTCCCTGGTAAACCCCGCCCATCTACACCGGCCCGCGCCTCCCTGGTAAACCCCGCCCATCTACACCGGCCCGCCCCTCCCTAGTAAACCCTGTCCATTTACACCGGCCCGCCCCTCCTTGGTAAACCCCGCCCATCTACACCGGCCCGCCCCTCCCTGGTAAACCCCGCCCATCTACACCGGCCCGCCCACCCTGGTAAACCCCGCCCATCTACACCAGCCCGCCCCTCCCTGGTAAACCCCGCCCATCTACACCAGCCTGCCCCTCCCTGGTAAACCCCGCCTATCTACACCGGCTTGCCCCTCCCTGGTAAACCCCGCTCATCTACACCGGCCCGTCCCTCCCTGGTAAACCCCGCCTATCTACACCGGCCCGTCCCTCCCTGGTAAACCCCGCCCATCTACACCGGCCCGCGCCTCCCTGGTAAACCCCGCCCATCTACACCGGCCCGCCCTTCCCTAGTAAACCCTGCCCATCTACACCGGCCCGCCCCTCCTTGGAAAACCCCGCACATCTACACCGGCCCGCCCCTTCCT